ATTAAATAACGTGCTCCAGCAAAATCTTCCCCAACTCACAACATGAAATTTTTTTAGGGACCTAACTTTGTCAATCCAGAATAGGCACACATAAGAAGTTAGTCCTACATAATATTTCGGCTTGCCACTTTGAAATGGCAGGTTTTGGCATCAGTGGTGCCTTTTTCAGCAAGACTTTTATGGAAATAACCTTGATTTTATTAGCTTGTGTTCTGTTTTATACCATGAGCAGAAAGGGTGATTAAATCTAATACAGCAAGCAGAACAATTAACAGGCTTAAGATAAGATAAGAATAATGTCTGCTTGAGCCTTTATCAGTTGACAATGAGCTAATATTAAAAAAAAAAGTATTGTGCAGTTTTCCTTTGCCAGAATTACTCACAAATAATTTTAAAAAATCCTTTCTTGCTCTGGTTTACAAATTGTATATCTCAAAGGAACATTGTTTTAGCCCAACTAGTCATTCTATTTTTAAACTTTCATATTATCTAGACTAATATCCCCTAGCTGTCAGAGGTAGATGGTCTGACTCAGAATCTGAAGGAGCATCTTATGGTACTAGTTGCAAGGTCAGACAGAATTTGAAAAGCAATGCAGGTGCTTAATAATAGGAAAAGAATATTGCTCTGTATGGGACTGAATGCTACTGAGCATTACAAAGCTGGAACTGACTGTGGCTGAATGGTGCCATACATCTTCTGGTGCATAGATTTATGGCAGAATCCTGTTTCACTTTATGTGCCCAAATGGCAGATATCCAGCCAAATAACTGCCATTTTTAGCACTTTGCCCTCCTCTGGAAAGTAACCCTTTAGGCATCCATGACAGGAGGACCACCAAGACAACTAGAGTGTGGCTTGTTAAGTGTGATGGAAGCTACTCTTGATGGGAGAGGGCCCTAAGTTCAAGCTGGCCCTGTGGGGCAGATCCAAAGGGGATACTTTGGCTTTGTGGCACGTGAGCTTTCAGCACAAGGTCTACCCAGAGCAAGCCCCTGCTTTGTATCTGAGCTCCAAGCCCACTGCTCAAACCACAAAGCCCACGTCTCAAACAGAGCTTCGGCAGGAGCCTGTATTGACCAGGCAGTGAACCCAGAGCTCACTGCATATGTGGCACAGCCAAATGGGGTGAGGGCACACCCCCCCTTGCCCTGTTCCAGGATCTGCTAATGGCTAGCCTCAAACTTCCTCACACCTCTTCCCATTTTATCCAATGAATATTAAATGCAAAGTACAGTGGCTTCAAGGAAGAGGGGACTAGATAATGACTAACCTGTGTCATGGCGGCACTGTGGTGGAAGTTTGAAAGAGGCAGGGTCAGATCCATCCTTGGCAAGCATCCAAATCACTAATCTATTGATCAGAGGAGTACCTCTCTTCCCCAGTTTTTCCTGGGCTATAATTTTGGCAAACCTGCTTGGGGATGCACATAGAAAATTCTGTAATTACATGGCTCCCACCGCTGCACACACCCCAAGGGAAGGCATGGGGGGCCAGATTTGTGAACAGGGCGAGGGCGAGCTGCCTGCTGTGCACTCGGGGCCAAGGGCTGTGCCGGCCTCTTCCAGGCAGGGGGGCTGGTCCGGTGCTGCACTCGGGGAG